GGTGGGGGCTTGGAACATCCATTTCTTGCGACAGGACGATTGGTTACCACTACTGTCGAGGGAATTGAAGCAGCTGAGAGTTGAGGTGGCTGCTCTCTCGGAGGTGAGAAGACCTGGCAGTGGCATGATTAGTGTGGGTGGCTACACTTATTACTGGTTGGGCTGCAGCGATGGCCACCATTTCCAGGGAGTAGCCATAGTCATCTCCAGCAGATTTTAACCCTTGATAATAGAAGTCATTCTAGTATATAAACTTGAGGTGAAAGAGATGTTTTATGCCAAACTTGCATCTGTGACAGACAGCTGTTCTCGGCGAGATATTCGTATTGTTCTGGGTGACTTCAGTGCGGTATCCGGCTGTGATCAAACTGGCTACGTGATGCATGTCGGTCCTCATGGCTCAGGAGCTGATGCTGGCAGCGAGAATAGTCTCCTATTTCATGACTTTGCTAGGTCCCAGAAATAGAGGAATTTTGGCTCATGGTATCAACATTCTGATCTGCATCGTTGGACAGTGATATGGGTTGTGTGGCCTAGGAGATCGACCACATCCTCGATAGCACTCGATGGAGGATCCTCCAGAACTGCAGTGTGTATCGAAGCATTGAGTTCTGTGGAACTGATCTAAGATTAGTTGTGGCTACTCTCTGGGTCCACTTTAGAACCCCCCGTCAACCAAATGACAGATTGTGCCTGGGGGTTTGCCGAGGCTATCTCTGGTCGTCTCACAGCACTCGAGGGCTTGTTCTTCTGTGGGACACCTTCAAGCATTAAATGCTTGATGCAGCCCAAGAATCGACTGGTGAACGCCCAAGAGCAAGACACAGGAAGACACAGATGCTTGTTGTGCAGCTCGATTGGCAAGGGATCACAACTTGCACTGTTCTCGGGTGTACAGGACTAGGTCACTGTTGAGAAGGGATAAGGAACAGTTTATCAGGAATCTTGCAGAGGAGGTCAAAAACCATTTCCTAGAAAATGACCTTCATCTTGCCTACCAAGGTCACGAGTCTGCCACACCGCGGCGCTCACTCATCTGTGCGCATCGACTGCCCTCCCTCCATAAACGCGAAAGCCTCTCTTCACTGTGTCCTTGTGTACCGACAATTTTTGTGCCATAATTCGCTTTACCTGTGCATCAATCCATCAAAAATGTCGGGTGTGAAGAGAAAGATAAACGGTGAAGCCAGTAAATTGCCAAGAAACGTCAGGCTATAACTTTATGGATCTTATCAATCGGTTCGCCAGCCAGTCGCCTCGACAGTCAGCCAGTCACCTCTACTTTCGACATACGGTCAAATCGACTTCTGAACAGCCTCTCGGTCCCCATTATGTTCATAAGTTGGGAACTTACTGTATGTATATATGACATACCTATATATATACATATGTATATATATATGTATATATGAATATATATATTATGTATATATATATATGTACATATATATCAACATATATATATATATATATATATATATATTTTATATATATATATATATATATATAATATATATATATATATATATATATATATATATTTTGTATATATATATATATATATATATATATATATATATATATATATTTTGTGTATATATATATATATATATATATATATATATATATATATATATATATATATTTTTTTTTTTTTTATATATATATATATAAGATTGCTGCCGGGGAAAATGAACAAAAAATGGGGAAAATGCTGGGCCTATTTTCTATATTTTTTTGTGAAATGTCTGCCCATAGATGGCTCTGCTAGTCCTGATTTCACCTTTCCTTGAATTGGCGGGGAAAAAACGAATTCTTACTATTGCTATAAATATAGCTGTTGTTATTTTTAACTGTAAATTAGGATAACATTAAATATTTTCGTAAATCGATGAAAAGGGTGAACGGGCGAGACAGGCAGTACTGTAATTGGCTCATTGGATACTTAGTACAAGTGTAGCCATCTATGAGTATAAACAATCAAACAAGTTGACTCACAGTGGTCATGGCATGTACGTACATGCCATCCCCGGAGGCAATATTTATATATGTATATATATATATATTATATATTTATTATATATATATATATATATATATATATATATATATATATATATATATATATATGTATATATATATATATATATATATATATATGTATATATATATATATATATAAATATGTATTTATTTATAAATATATATATATATATATATATATATATATATATATATATTATATATATTATATATGTATATTATATAAATTTATATATATATATTATATATACATTATATATATATATATATATAGATATATATATTATATATATATATTTCATATATATATATATTATATAAATTATATATATTATACATTATACGTATTATGTATTATATGTAAATGTAATATATATATTACATATATATATTACATATATATATTACATATATATATATATATATATATATATATATATATATATATATATATATA